AATGGAGAGACATGAGTCATCAAAGCTGCAAAGCTATTGGAGAAAATCCAGGAAGCCAGCCTTAAAATAGGAACAGAAGGGAAGTGAGGGGAGGCAGAAATAAAGAGAAAGAACAAGAAGAGAAAGACAACATTTAGAACAAGAAAAGAGAACTTGGGGAGAGTTGCCTGGAGCTGAAAAGCCCTGGAGGTAGCCACACAACATCCATTTGCACAGGCCTCAAAAGAGGCAATCCAGTACACCCCCAGTACCTCATAACCAGCACTCCCTTCTGCCAGTGCTTACAATGTGCATAAATGTGCAGCTGTGTGGTCAGCTAAATTTGGAAGCGACTTATCTATAAACTAACACTTTACAGCAGCCAGGCTTATGGTTCAGACTAGCCTTGGGATCTCTCCAGGGAGTGGAGTTTGAGGATCAGGTGTTGCTCTGCATCTTGCACCCTCATGCAGACACCTGGGGTTAAAGATGTGGAAGCCTGAAGGAGGGGAAAGAAAGGCAAAGAAGGAACCTTAGTTTTAAACATAATCTGCAATTGTGGTGTATGTTTTTGTCTTGGTTAACTTTTTTCAGCCTTGTAATTGTAATTGTTGCCTACCTACAATAAAGATGTACTTCACCTGACCCACAAGCTTGTCCAGTGCTGGCAGACTTAGGTGACGCCGAGAAATATGAGCACATTTCTTCAGGGATAAAAAGTTTGTATACAATGTGCATTCAGGCACTGCTAGTAAACCTGTACCCTAAAATCTAACAGAGAGATGAAGAGTTTATTCTGCCAAATTACAACAGCTCTAGTGTGCGGTAACACCGCAAGATACAAGGTTCCCCGCAGTAAGTGTTTCTTCTCCTGCAAAGCTCACACTACAGAGCAGCACCCTGCAGCCCTGAACAGGCCCTTAGTCACCTCGTTATTTATAGCCTTTTTATTATCAATTGCAAACTAAAATAGTACTCGTTCATGCTTTATGTAATATACTTTGGGCTTAAATTATGAGCCTATTTTTCCTCCTGAAAAGAAATTCTGTTCTTCAAGAGAGTAACATACATAAAAGCCCTCCACAGCATGCTGTAGAAAAGACATAATTATTTAGCACATAGGAAAGGAATGGTAAGGACTTGCCTTCTTTCTTCAGGGCTGCTCCAGTCGTGATTAATGGCTGTGATTACTTTGTTTATCTTTAACCCTGATGTCACTAAGGAAGGGTGAGTTAACATTTTCAGTGCCGTGTGGCAAACACCAGTTTTGGGGCCTTTTGAATAGGTCACATGAATAGATAACAATGGCATAAACTGCTTGCCTGTGCCCAAGTTCTGCCGCTGATCCTGCCTGACACGCTAGCGGCTATTCCCTGATAGCTTATAGCTTCGCGCTTTCTCTCCTACAGAAAAAGCAGCTCCAACAAGCACAGGTAGGAGGCACACCTACCTGAAAAAAGCAGCATGTAGATGTTTTTCCTCATGCCTCTGCAGCCGAGAAGGGGGTGGGCTGGCTGCAGCTTGCAGTCTGACATTTGGGTCGCCCTGCTTGCGGTCGAGAGGAAGATTTCAGACAGGTAAAATAGGATGTGGAAGAAGCAGAGAGAAAGCGAGTTTCATCTCCTGCCATGGGCTGTAGAAGAAAACATGTTTAAAATTTGTCAACTATTTAGTTTTTCTGGTAGTATTAATCTCAATAATTTTAGGAATAAAATTGCTGGATATTTTAGCACTTTACAACTCATATTTCTAGACTTCTCTTATCCGCTCCCAACAGTTAGACCCTTCTATTGAGAGGCATCTTGTGGACCATCGGTTTTTGTAGTATTCTTAACTTGTCAACACACCAAACAATTTTTTGAGCTTTTCTTCACCCTTCCTTGTTTTTCTGGATTTCCTCAGCGAAGTTGATTGATCTATTAAACCTCTCAATAAACAGGCAGACAAAAAAAAATTAGACTATTTATAAACAGTTCGGCATAACCTCCATAAATACTGTGAGAATTCAGGGTGTGGTTTCACATCAGTTTAAACACCATCTAGGTGGTCATGCTCCTGCCATCCCCACTGTAGCCCAGATACCTGCTCCTGCGTCTTTCACGAGCCCTTCCACAGCAGCGGCTGGGGGGGGCGGGAGGCCAGCCCCCTTCTGCCCGTGGGGGGA